TCAGCCTTGATGTTAATGAGCGCACGAAAAAATGTTTCGCCGGGTAATGAATGTTGCTGCTGCAGCTTTCTATTATTTACATGACTTTGAAAGGTTTTTTTAAAAGTTATAATCCTCCCTACCCCGTTGTGATGATGTGATGAGTCCTTAGCATTTCATCATCGCAATTAGAATCAGAAACGAATCTCTTGTTTTTAACACAATGGTTTATAGTGCGCGTACGTATGTGTTAGCGTCTCTCGAGGCTGCGGATGCCAAGTACAATCTAATAAATATACAATGGGGACGAATCGAGAGTCCCCGTATAGAAGTCGATTCTCGCACACGCGTCAATCGAGTGCGCCATCCACGAACGCGGCGACAATCGATTTTAATCACCGCTATTGATGCGTCGCTGGTTTTAAGTGCCTACCTGGGGGTGAGTGGGTGGGTGGGTGGGTGGATTGCACGTGGAACCGAATTCATTACCGTAATGCACTCTGGTGGCGGGCCTCGTCACGCGGCAGTGAGGATTTGTGGGGGGGGGGGTGGCCCCCTACACTTGCACCCAAACGTTGCCACGCCGATCACCGGTTCGGGAAAACATTCGCGACCTCGGCCCATTTCCTTCCATCGTTTTCATCTCGGCCGTCATTAGCTGCGCTCGCCTGATCATGTGCCCACACTCCCCCCCTCCACAACGTATTGACACAACCGCGAATCATGTGATATGCGTGCCGTTTTTGTTGTTGTTGTTTGTGATGATTCAGCCTTTGGGTCTGTGCCGGATTAAGCTAGTGCGGAGCCTGTAGCATGTGTTATAAAGGGGCCCTAAATAAAATATAAAAACATAAATATTAAAACACACACTTTTTTACTTGCATAGTAAAGTAATTGTATTTTTTCATTTGCTATACAGCCAGATAATACGACAAATCGCTAAGCTTAAACAACCAGTCGTTCATAAAAGTTGAAGGCGGTATAGTACTATAGTAATAGAGCAAGTGCAGAATCACTGAACCGGAATTGATAGCTTGAAAGCATTTAACGCGGGGCCCTTGAAAGTGCGGGGCCCGTAGCTACTACACATGTAGCTACTACACATGTAGCTACTACACATGTAGCTACTACACATGTAGCTGGGCCCTTGAAAGTGCGGGGCCCATAGCTACGAGGATAATCCGGCACTGCTTCGGGTTATTGAGTACGAACGCATATAGCTCGGGTGCATGAGAGCGTAATTCGCCGTAAGGGAAATAATAGTACTGCAAGTCCCATCGTGCCTCCTTCACACCGCAATGCCACAGATTGCTTCATATTCCAGTGGGAAGTATTTGCTGTATCCCTGACATTGACGCAGGGCGGCATCAGATGAAATTTGGCGATCCCCAGCAGCAGCAGCTCTTCGTACTCGGCAGTCTTAATTACCGTATCCATCGAAGGAAGAAAGAGAGAGCGAGGACAAAAAACCCCAACCTCACATCTCTACCTTTTTCCCCCCTTCGACGTCCTGTCAGGGTTGTTAACGCGCCGGTTGATTTTCTCAGCTGTCGTTCGTTGCTCACGTGCACATTTTCCTTTGGTTGTGGTCGTGGGGTCGGGTGGAGGTGAGCGGGGAAACGTCGTTCCAGAGCGCCGGGGGCTCCGAGACAGGGCTGAGTCGCAAGGTCACCAGCGGTGATATTTTAAGTAGAGTTCACAAAGGGCACCAGCCGGCAATCTCCCTCTACCAAGGATTTGTCATATCACTCCACGGGTCATAAACAACAACAACAACAAAATGCCCCCAAGCATGAAAAGCAGGGCCGGGGCAATTCCTTACGCCCCTACTGCCCGCTCGGTTTGTGTTGTAAGGAGGAGGGGGAAAACATACGAAGCGATGAGGATACTGTATTTCATCTTCGCTCGATGAAAATTCGTCTCTTCATTATTTTAAGCGATGAATTCGAGTGCCGCATAACGTATCGATGTTGTCATTTTTGAAACAGTTCGATTTTCTGGCGAGATCCGGCTCTGTATATTAACAACAACAAAATAGTGAAACCTTTCAAGTTTAGGTCGTATCTTGATCATCATCATCATAAGCCATGATCTATCCACTGCCGGATGAAGACCTCTGCAAGTCGTCGTCATCTCTCATGGTCTCGCTGTGCAGCGATCCGCCTCATCTGCTGCACCCTGCACACGAGCTGATGCAATTGTTCCTTCTCTGCTCGCAGATGTCCTCTCTGGGGTGTTTCCTCCTCTGCCTCTCTCGCAGCTTGTTGTTAACGGGGTCATAAACGCACGATGCTAGGTTTTTGTTTAAATATATCGTCCTTACATCCCTGTTAAACATGCTTCGTTGATAATGTACAGGCTCACCACGTTCAAATTTTTTAAGAAAAAAAACAAGAGAATTATTTTCATGTCAATACACCAGTGTTATGCACAACTCAATTCTATTTAGCTCGATGGTATGTCTTGTGTATGCTGCTCGATTGATATCTGAGAGTGATTAACCCTCCTTCGTTTGTGACGAAAAATAATGAACGTTTTATTTTGGCTGAGCAGACACTCATTTGTATAGCAACGGAGTAGCGTTTTCCAACAACAACAACACAATCACATTAACGCCGTTCTTCAAATGGAATTTTTAAAAAAATTCACTAAAATGGGTCTCGTTTGTGCATCTTGATATCCGATGCGTTTGTTTGCTGGGGAAATAGGCCCCCGAAAAACAATTCTACATTCTGACGAACATTACGTTTCAAAGCGTGCCGAATCCCCCGGAGGGCTGCACAATCTGCCCGGTGCATTTATTTTGATTTCATGGATTGAGAGCTCCAAAGATGTTCATAAAATAATGAATGATAAAACAATAGCGACCAAAATGTCCCTTCAGCCTTCAAAGCCTGGAGAGGTGTGGGCCAGGGGCTCGTAGCTTCGTAAAGTGAGGACATTAGCGATGTCTGGCTTGGTTATTTTCAGACACGTGAGCTTCTCTTACGTAATTGGTTTGCGTGTGCAGGATAAATTGGCCTTTAGTTTAAATCCTTTTTTTTTAAGGTGGATAGGTACCGGTACAGGCTTGGTCAAGGAAATTAACAGCAACGGCTATGTGAGCTGTAGCTGTACGGAAGGAAATACAGATATGTGCCTGTCGCACATCACAAGCGGCCAAGCATCCTCTCTCTGCCTCGTACCTACTGAAAGTTAGATGCGCGTTGAACTTCCTTTGCACCGTACGCAGCCAACCGTGCTAATGGGCGGTGCAATTAGCACGTGACCTCACGCCCCCTCCGAGACGCCACAATGATCTCCGTTTGTTTACTCGCCCAAGCGAGATCTCGAGATCGCTGATGTGAGAGAGATACAAATGTGCTTGCCTTGTGTCTGCGCTGACCCTGGGGCCTGTACCTTGGCGTGCTTGTTGATCTTATGAATAAGCCTCGGGCTAAAAAAATCGAGTGTTTGAGACGTGCACTGATACTGGCGTTGTTATCATCGTCGATAAATATGAAAAAAAGCCGTGCCAGCGAACGTGAAACTGCAACTCCCGGACGCTGCCATGTTTCCGTAAGCTATTTAAATGAGTCTGGTGCGTTTATGAATGTTACGGACGCAAACGCGCGATCACCGAAATGTCGATAATTCTGTAAGACGGTAATCGCAATCGAAATACCCGAGAGTGATTTTTTTAATGAAACTCTTTTTATTTGCAAAGTGGGAGGTTGCCAATTCATCTCGGTGACATGTCGAACAGTGTTGTATGAGATGGGGGGGGGGGGGGTAGCACAGTGCATGGCTGCTATGGGTCACGGGGCACCAAAAATGTTCCACAGACAAGATGTTTGGAACCAAACGATGCCATGTCGCAGCAGCGGCTTTGTCCGCCCGTCGAACGAAGACGGTCACCGCATCACTCTTTCATGCCCGCTTCTGCGTCCGTCTGGAACGCTCTTCCATCCGATATCAGGAACCCGCTGGAGCTATGCACTTTTAAATCGAAATTGAAAACGCATTTGTTTAGAACTTTTGTTTGAGTTTTGTTGTCATTCCCCCTCACCTCCAATTATCACGGTTGGCTTCGTGCGGTGGCGAAATAAGTTCAACGTACATACGTGAGAACGATGGGATCAATTTAAATGCCCTTTTTGCGTTTGTACCTGGTTGGCAATGTCTTCTCCTCGAGTAAGAATTGTCAACATTCTTCAGCCTTAAAAAACTACCACGATGTCTGTCACATGACGCCCAGCTTGGTTAATGATAGCTTTTGCATTCTGGATGGAAAAATTACGCATAGAAAGGACTTCATTAAAAAAACACGAAATTCCCAAGTTACCTTTTGAATCATCAGGTTCTATCAGCTGTGACGCATATTGCAAAAGAAACACCCCGTTGTATCGATGTGTGTTGAACTTCTTTCGCACCGTACGTAGCCAACCGTGCTAATCGGAGGTGCGGGGGACGGACAACAAACTGAACACACACAAAAACATCAGTTCTGAAGAAATGAATTGTATAAGCCGGTCCCCCTCTTTGCGAACACTTGTGCATACGGCTCTGCGATGTGTTTCCGGGTTGTAGGAAAGTCGGAACAACGTGCCTGAACGACATTTGGCACAACCCGAAAAAAACTGGAGAGCAATGACAAAGATCCCCCGTGTAGCCTGAACCGACCGTTGGGGCAAGTGCTGTAAGCAAGCACCTGATTGGAGAGCACAACCCCGACCACAATGCACGTGATCCGATGCGGCGAATGTATTTATGGATTAGCAAGACCATACTCTTTGGGTCTTTCGGTAAAGGTCACGTAGGTAGAAGACTAGATTTGAAGGTTTTGTGACTGCAAGGATTCATACTCTTAGTTTTTTTCGGTAAAGTCACGTAGGTAAAAAATAAAATTAAAATTAATAAATGTAAAATAAAAAATAAATATATATTTTTATTTTACTTTTATTAATTTTTCTTTAAATTTTAACCTACGTGACTTTATCGAAAAAACCTAAGAGTATAGATAGAAGACCATGCCGTATTCTTTTTGTTGCGCCGTGACCTTGTTTTGGAGTTCATGAATAAAAGAAGATTCGACCAAGAGACTGCTTCTTTGGCGCCCGCGTTCTCAGTGATGCGTAATCGGAAAAGCGAAGAGGCACCCAGAGCTCGCGGTGGTGGCGAACAAACAAAAACAGAAGCTGACATTTTTCGCTTATTTTAGCCACGAACCGTCAAAGAAAATGATCGGCTTGCGTGGCGCAGGATCACAGTGCAAACAACGCGTTGACAATAGAAAGGCTGCGGCTAAGCCTTTCGAAGCATAGCTTTACTTACAGGGAGTGGGAGATGTGCGCGCGCGTGTGCGTGCGCGTGTGTGCGTGTTTGTATATTTCAGTGGCTGCTTTATTCATATGCATGTCCGTATATACTGCATGTCATTATACTTGTACTGCACGTGCAAATGACGAAGCTATATACGCGCTGGACATTCGCATACACTTATTTTGATGACAAAGATCCCCCAATGTAGTCTCCACAGGTCGTTGGGGGGGGGGGGGGGGGGGGCTCTGTTAGCGAGCGCCTACGAAGGCCAACACGGCACAGCAGGAAGTGGCGTGTTCAGCACCACGCCCGGCCGCCTTTGTCACCCCAGTGCTGATAATTGTTTTTATACCTCCACACCAGGTATTCATTTGAGGCTGAGTCGACCCAGGGGAGGCACGGGGCCGGTTCAGATAATCGCCAATGATGCGAGGCTTGGCCATTAATCCAACTCGGTTCGCCAGCTCCTAAGTGCTGTGCGCTAATCAATGCACCACTGCTCCTCGCACGCACACACACACCAAGACAAAGAGACGAAGATTCCCCCGTATAGCCTTTAACCGATTGGTGGGGCAAGTGCTGCTAGCGACCACCTATGAAGGCCGGCACGGTACACGAAGGGGTGAGTCGTCGACAATATGCCTGGCGAGTGCCGATGTTTGTGCACTCATTTAAGGCCGAGTCAAACTAGGGGAGGTCCAGGACTATTGAAAATGTCTCTCCAGTTACTGGTCGTGAGCAGGAATCAAACTCCCATCGCCGGGATCGTGGCCCAGTGCGCAAACCACGGCACTGCTGCTCCCCATACACGCACGCGCACACACCTGCACGCACGCATACGCGCACGCATACACGCACGCGCACACACCTGCACGCACGCACGCGCGCGCACACAGTCGTAGAAAACCCACAGTTCGCGCGTGAATTTCTCACACGCAGCAAATTCAATCTGAGATGCAAAACCCCGTGAGTTTATTCGCCTTCCGCTTTCCCTGCACGTGCCGCACACACACACACGCGCTCGTCGTCCCGACACGTACGCTCCCACGCACCGAAGGCCAGTTTCACATGGCTACTGCTCCTTGCATTATGCATCCATAAAACCTGGACCCCCCCCCACCCATCAGCAGTCCAATGAGGGGGGATTTAATGGCTGCATGGCGAGGCGTATCATCCCCGAAGATATTATTTTCAATGACGTATCCCGACAACACACAAACAATCGCTTTGCCGGTGTCTATCTCCGTGCGGTGGCACCGAGGAGCCAGCGGAGGAGAGTTTTCTCCGTCGAACTCTTCGCCGTTACAAATTTCCCACCAAGTGGCACTTCATTGTGAAAGTCCCCCCCCCCCTCCCAGGAGAGACCATGTAGTTGAGTCATTATCCCGAGTGGGGATTTTGAACTCGCGAACCGTGAGTAAGGAGCGTTCTGCCACCGTCCCGCCAGGCCAGACAAACGTGAAATTGCTTGCTGTGAGCACGGTCGAAGGGTTATCCTCATTCTCATCCGGCAGCTCAAAGTTACGACTCGGCTAGCGGGGGGGAGGGAGGGGGGGCTGCAGATTAATCACGTAAGTCATCATCCGTCACGGCGGACTCCGCGTGGATTTCACCCGATATAATCCCAAAGAACAGCTTCCTTTCCCTTCGTCCCCATCCCCCTACTCCGCCACCCACACAGCGTGGACACAACCGGGTAAGGATGCCCCCCGTTTATGCCACTGCGTGCCTTGGCGGCTCGGCTCGCGTGTGCAGTTGCTCAATTAGGAGCCAACCTTGGCACGCACCACGCTCGGGGAGGGACGCATCCCTGTTCCTCCTACTCCACTTCCACCTCCTCCTCCTCCTCCGCAGCAGCAGCTGTTCAGGGGCAGTGACAGTCGACACAGCGGCTCGCAGAGCAGCACGGCGCGCCACTTATGCATCCGTTGGCAAGCGTGGAGATGAGACGAGCGTGTAACGGGAGGGGAACGGGGGGGGGGAGAAGGGGGCGATGCGGTGCGGGTTCAGGGTCGTCAGTGGTTGCCCCGTGAGCGACACTCGTTTACTTGTACACTTAACAACACAACGTAAGCATATGGGGCGGCAGTGGCTGTTGTTATTATTGAGGCTTTGTCATAAAGCCAACGTCCGACTTGCCTAAAATGCTGAACGGATAGAATCGAATACATGTTTCATGTAAAAGCGAATAGACGTTATGTAAATATGCTACGTTTTTTTTTTTACTACAGCTGTTACAACGTGCTTAATCAAGTACGTTTCTTACACGAGAGACATAAACAGCACAGACACTGCATCACCGAGTGACATAAAATATGTAGTGCATGTATTATATGATGATAATTTCGTTTTGTATACACATCACAAAGGAAAACACATGAGCAGCTTAAATTATATATCGAAACATGAACGTGTTATAAAATTGTGCAATAAGCTTCACAGCTTTAATAAATGTGTGCTATTTTGTTGCCTTTAATAACAATATAGAATTATGTATATATATAGGTAGCCCTGTTTATATTATTGTCACACATGCTAGGGCGTATCAGTAATCAAAGGTCTTTCATTGTAGGCACGGTATTCATGTATGGCATCAAAAAGCCACTCTGTTACCCTGAAAAATATGCACATTCATCAATGTGAAATTCTTTTCGTTCACACATTCTCTCTCTCTCTCTATTTCCCTCCCTCCCTCTCAAATTTTCTTTCCGACGGTGACCGAAACGCACGATCGCTCTGCGTGGTAACACTTTGTGCTATTCGGGATGCCGTCGGTGTGGGCTCGCCGTACGTAAAGGGGGCCGAGAGTTCAGATGTCCCGGAGGGACGAGGGGGTGGGTGGGTGGGTGGGGTGGTGAGGGAGCGATGAAAGCAGCACCGGTGGCAAATACCTCGCGGATCGACGGTGCAGTAAATCCCGAGGAATGCGTCGGCCCCGAAACCAAGCAGCAGCAGCAGCAGAGTGTGGATTCGAAACGGCCGAAGTCCCGTTGCTGTTCGCGGTGTTTCTGTTTCCCCCCCCCCCACCCATATTGGCGTTTCGCAGCGGGCTCGCGTTGAGTCGCAATTATAACGGCAACAACAACAACAACAAAAAACAGCCAATGCCTCGTACTGCAGCTAAAGGGGGAGTTTTCGGCTCGAGAAGTCGGAGGAGCGCCAGCGCCGCCAACGCTCTCAGAAGTCGCCAACTCTCCACCTCTCCCGTCGCCCGGCTCCTGCTGTCCGCCCCGTGCGCTCCATCTGCGTCCGCCCGTGGCGATACCGCTGGCGCTCACGCGATTCACGCTGACGCGGGTTCACAAAGCAGCAGCAGGACCACAGCCACTGCCACCCCCCCACACCCCCGCCTTCCCGTGCCCGCGCCAGCGCCTATCCGTTCATCTTGCGCAGCTTGGCCGGCAGGATCTCCTCGGGAGCTCGGAAACTGATGCACGTGTTCATCCGCTGCAGCTTGGCCGGCAACTCGGACCTGCCGCCCACCGCCGGGCTCCTCTGCACGCCCGCGTCCGAGTTCATCTTGAAGGTCCTGAGCGGGAAGCGCTCCTCGGGCTCCGAGCCCATGCGCTTCATCTTGAGCGGGATCTCGCCCATGCTGTCGCTGCCCATGCCGAAGCCGATGCCGGCGCTCGACACCGTCTCGCTGATGGTGGAGCTCATGCGCAGCAGCCGCCTGCTCTGGACGTCGCCGCCCCCCGCGCTCATCCTCTGCAGCTTGGACGGCAGACGCGCCGCGGCCGCGGGGGCCGCCGCCTCGCCGGGGCCGCCGTCCTGGCAGTCCAAGCCGCCCGAGTCTTTCCTGCGGTTCTCGGCGAGCAGGGCGCGCTGCGGCGACAGCGGCGACTGCAGCAGCGAGGTGGCCTCCTCCTGCTCCTTGATGCTCTGCGGCGCCGTGGGCACCTCGAAGGTGCTGTGGAACTGCGAGTAGTCGACGCGGAAGAAGCCGTCCTCGAGCGACATGACGGGCAGGAAGCGGTGGCCCCAGAGCACCTCGTCCTCCGTGTAGGAGGTGCGCGCCTGGCACGTCATGCCTACGCGACAGCGGCTGCACGGCTTTAATTTGCACGCGGGAGGCACACGAACGTCGACCGCGAACATCGATGCGCAGGAGAAGCCGGACGCGAGAACGGCGCGTCACGAGCAAGTCCGGCTGCGTGATTACGTCGAAAGCATTTTTGCTTGGATCGGGCATTGTTGCCCTTTGCATGCCCCACCACCACTGGTCTAATGTAAGGGGGTGCTGTTGCTTATATCCAGCGTCTACTGCATCTCACCTCTAGCTTCGACCGCATGCACGGGCAAGGTGAATGAGTGGAAGGCTTTACAAAAAGCAGTCATGGTACCTTTTACAGAGAAGCCGAATTCAGTGGGGAGAGTGGGAGAATTAGGACTTGCTACTTACAAGAAGATTACATGCAAACACATCATGGGACCTCCTTTGCCAGTACCAAAATATGATAATAGGCTTTCGCCCTTTTTTATGGCAACAAAACAGGTGTTGAGATGTTAAAACACCCAACTGAAACCTTTTTACAAGGAATCATGTCTGCATTAACCACAGTGCTTGTGGTCAGAATGCAAAAAAAAAACGCCTTTTGGCATCCGCTGGTCTAACACCGTTTGAGACGAGGCTCAAAAGAAAGCTGTCTCTGGTGTGGACCAATCAGTTTCAAGGACAATGCATATATTATCAGACATGATTCTTTGTAAAAGGTTGCAGTTTGGTGTTTAACATCTTAACACCTGCTTTGTTGTCAGACAAAAAGAGGGGAAACCTATTATCATTACAAGCAAAGTTCGAATTCATTTATCGTAAGAAACAAATGTGGTTTCATGAAAGGGTGCGGGACACGAGAAGCTTTGTAAATGGCGCATAGAACATGGCCAGGCGTTGTGTGTGTATGTGTGTCGTGGACTATGAGAAGGTTGTCATTGACAGGTTTGCAGATTTTCAAGGGATGGTGGCAGGCATGTATGTGTGTTGATCTTCTTTCGCACCGTACGTAACTAATCGTCTTGATTGGCTGACGAGTGAGTTAATCAAAACACTGCAAAGCAAGATGGGTACAATGATCAATGTAGATAGGACAGACGTTAAGAGATTGTCGAGGAAAGGTGGAGGAAGCCTTGAATGTCAAGATTGACGGACAATTGGTAGAATGGGTGAAGACATTGATGATCCTGTGCGCATTGATCCGTGGAAGATGGATTGGCGTGTCGCAGACAACAAAGATTGAGGATTGGCGGTGGAGTAAGAGGCATTCAGGAGGAAGAAAGAGTTGCTGACAAGAACGACGAGTGAAATGGTGAAGAATAAAGAGGAAAAGATGAAGAATGAGAAGATGAATAAGATCAATGAGATCAAGAAGATGAAGATGAATAAGATCAATAATATCAAGAAGATGAAGAAGATGAAGATGAATAAAATCAATTAGATCAAGAAGATGAAGGAGTAGAAGATGAATAAAATCAAAAAGATCAAGAAGATGAAGAAGATGAAGATGAATAAGATCAAGAAGATCAAGAAGATGAAGAAGAATAAGATCAATAAGATGAAGATGAATAAGATCAATAAGATCAAGAAGATGAAGAAGATGAATAAGATCAATAAGATCAAGAAGATCAAGAAGGAGAAAATGAAAAGATGGAGAACATGAATAAGAAGATGAATAAGGAGAAGGACAAGATGAAGCAGTGGTGTGGAAGTGTAGCTGTGCACGGAGCGAAAAACGTGGCGACTGACAAAAGACGCGGCGAGACGTTGGAGGCGTTAGGAGACGTGGGTATTGAAGGAGGATGCAGAGGGTGAGGCTGGACAGAGACGAAGACCAGTGGAGGAACATCGCAAAGCACCAACGGAGGAGGAAGCAGAATGGAAGTCACTGGAAGGAGAGAGAAGAACTGGACTGGACGCATTCCAAGAGGGGACGTTTAAATTAACAAAGGCACCACAGGAGGAAGTTGTGACTGGATGAGAAGGCCAAGGATTGCGATGTTGAAAGAGCCAAAAGGAATACAAATAGTTTCGTGGAAATGAGGAAGGCAGGTAACAGAGGAAGGTGGGGAAATTTTTATAATTTATTATTTATGGTTACCAGGTAAGGCTCAGTGAGCTATATAACTTTTTTCAGAAGCGACCTGGCCACAAATGATAGCCCCATGAAGTGGCTCATCACGTGGAAATGTATAGCAGACACATACTCTAAACGCGTGATGTTGATTCTAAATTTGGAGGGAAAAACCGGAACACCCGGAGAAAAATCCGCGACCTCCAAATATACAGCAGGCGTCAGGGTCAGGATCAAACCCAAGCAAGGTAGTTAACATCTCACCACCACAGCCAAGCTCCTGCCGTTACTGTTGCTCGTGATTTGGAGAGGCACTTCGAGTCGCAAGGCTCGTTTTTTTGTCACCAAGGTCAACGAGTAGCCAATTCCTTCCTGCGTGAATTATCTCGTGGGTTGAAACTGGATTTCTCAAGGGGGGGGGGGGAAGCTTGCATTTAAAAGGGGAGAAAACACACAAACGTACAAACATAAAGACTGGTCTACAAGGTACTCGAGTACACCTCCATGCTGGTTGGGACTTCCACGCACGTGGAGGCCTTTTGCACAATACAAGAGCCCGCCACCTCTTCTTGGTTCTTTCGGTAAAGTCACGTAGAAGGGAAATAATCAAATAATAAACATAAAACATAATAAAAATACTTCTCACGACGTTTCGGCCACAATGCAAGCAGCCGTCCTCAGGTGAAGAACAGGTCTGTCGGGAAGACAGACCTGTTCCAACAGATCTGTTCTTCACCTGAGGACGCTGTTTGCGTTGTGGCCGAAACGTCGTGAGAATTATTTTATTATGTTTTATTTTTATTATTTGATTATTTCCCTTCTACGTGACTTTACCGAAAGAACCAAGAAGATGAATCCCTGCAGTCACGAAAGCTTTACATCGAAAAGCCTGCCACCTCTGAAGCGGCTGCATTACAGGTGGGCAGATGCCCATGCTGGACATCTGTGGGGAAAAAAACGAAGAGCTTCGTAGCTCATCGGATTCCTCCTGCAGCCGAAATAAAGATTCCGATTCTGGGAGCCGAAAACGCTTGGCGAGTCACACGAGAAGGACAAACCCGTAACTTGAAGCTTTCGTGATTGCAGGAATTCATATTCTTGGGTCTTTCGGTAAAGTCACGGAGATATATAATATTTTCTTTGAATAATATTTTCTTTGAACATATCTTCGTGACTTTACCGATAGACCCAAGAATAAGGACAAACCCGTTGTGTTTTGTGGGGGTGGGGGGGGTCACTGCACTTCAGGCCACAACGCTTCTCTTTCTGCTTCTTTCCCTCGCACTGCTACACCTGGGAATTCCCCCATCTCGTTTTCCAAAGGTCTCGCAATGATCTTTGCACACTTGGAGAAATACATTGCACACTGCTCATCATCGCCTCCGATTAGCACGGCTGGCTGCGCACGGCGCGAAACAAGTTCAACCCATAATGCGTACATACTCTTTGGTTCTTTCGGTAAAGTCACGTAGGTATAAAATAACCGAAAGAAGCAAAGGGTATGGATTCCTGCAGTCACGAAAGCTCCAAATCAAGATTAATGCGTACATATTTAACAAATTTGACGGTGCTGTTTGTTGCTGGCCGCCTAATGTTTTGGGCCTGTGCTCAGCAACTGGATGTTATCTCCCTCGCCTGGTATGCAGGAGATCGTGGATTCAATCCCGAGCCTGACGATGCCTGTTGTATAACTGGAACTCCGAAAGTTCTCTCCTAGTGGTCGCGTGGATTTTTCTCCGGGTTCCTCCAGTTTTGCCCCCCACTTTTAGAAACACGCGTTTACATGACTTCACTGCTCCCCTAAATTCCCACGTGTGATGATATGAGCCACTGCGATGAGTATTCATGTGTGTTTAATTCTAGATTCGAAGCTTTCGTGACTGCAAGGATTCATACTCTTAGTTCTTTCGGTAAAGTCACGTAGGTAAAAAATGAAATAAAAATTTATAAAAAAATCAAAATAAATAATAAAATCACGACGTTTCGGAGGCAAGACAAGTCTTGATGCAGCAAATCTGGCTGTGACGGTCCCACCTGATGACGGAGACTTGTGTTGCCTCCGAAACGTCGTGATTTTATTTTTTTATTTTTTATTTCTTATTAATTTTCATTTCATTTTTTATCTACGTGACTTTACCGAAAGAACTAAGAGTATTCATGTGTGGCCAGGTATCCTCGGAAAAAAAACTGGTAAATAAAATGGTACGCAAAAAAAACTGCGCTTAAAACAAATATTATTTAAATATATATATGAAATCGCAGCTATGGGTGAAACAGCTTTGCACTCTACTAAGGTAGCTTCCAGGCGGATTTTATCCCCAAGGGCCGTGAGAGTCGCCGCACAGCGCACACGGCAACAGCAGCAGAGTGATTGGCCGCTCTTCAATTGTGAGATTAGAACATTTCTAGATATTTCCATCATTCCTTCATCGGGTTTACAGTGTGTAGGTTCATCTTCTTGGTTCTTTCGGTAAAGTCACGTAGAAGGGAAATAATAGAATGATAAAATTTAAACATAATAAAATAATTCTCACGACGTTTCCGCCACAACGCAAGCAGCCGTCCTCAGGCGAAGAACAGGTCTGTCGGAAAGACAGCGTCTGAAGAACCAAGAAGATGAATCCCTGCAGTCACGAAAGCTTTAAATCGAAAGTGTGTAGGTTGTGAACCTTCTCGGTGGTCACACCTTGACATGGGGGGTGGGTGGGGAGAGGGGGGGGGGCGGAATTGGCCGACCGATCGAGCCCGAGGTGGCGAGCTCGTTGTGCGAACGCGACCGTGCGACGCTTGACTGGAGAGGGAGCTAAAATCGCAAAGCTGACTGCGCACGCTTACCAAACAAACAAACAAAAACCCAACATCGCTCCGGCGTGCGCAGCAACATCAACCACGCCGGTATCTGGCGTAATGGCGTGCGTAAAATAGCACCGTCCCATTTCAATGCAAACGCCTTCATTAAGATTCTCTACGTGGGGTCCCTTTTTTATTTTTCTACGCGACTATTAATAAACTAATGGATTGCTAAAATCACAACGCTTGTCAAAATTAACCCATTATTAACATCAATTAATGTAGGCTCAGCGGGGTGGGATCAGCTGTATCATCTGCACACGCGGGGGGATCAATCAGCGTTGGCACCTGGGGGTCGGGCTCCGAGCGCGAGGGCATTGCGGATGGCCAGGCCTCGCCGCTGCTGCTGCCACCCCCTGCGTTGTGACGCAGCGGACGCCACGGCAGGCACACGCAAGGGGCACCAATGCGTGGTGGGGGAGTGGTGGCGCAGCGGTTCAGCGCACCGAGCTACGATAGCCGGCGACCGGGGTTCGATTATTCACGCCGACGGCCAACGCCGGTGACGATTCGTCTGAAGCCCGGTCATGGGCCTCGCCCAGGTCGACTCAGCCTCAAATAGTCCGTTCAGATTTGGCTGCTGTGAAGCGTTTGGCTGCGATATATTTCCACTTCGTTGAGCTATCATTTGTGGCCAGGTCGCTTCTGATAAAGAGCTACAGCATAGCTCAGTAGGCTGGCACCTGGTAAAATAAAACAAATAGTTTATAGTTTAGTTTCAAATGCGTACCTGGCGCGGTGTGTAAACATCGCCACTGGGGAGACAAAGACGGTCGGGTGTGGTGTTGACCATCCACCCACTCTCGTGCGCCATGCTGGCCTTCATAAGCGCTCGCTAACAGCACCTGCCCCAACATACCGTTAAAACTACACGGGGGATCTTTGTCTTGAATGAGCTTTGTGCTCCCGGTTCGGAGGGATAATGTAACAGAGAGCCGCGTTTCTCTCTTGTGGAGAAGACACAGGGACGGCGCTGTGCATCGCTTGGAGACAGGAGGGGAGCTCTACTGCTTGGGTGTGGAAATCGAAAAAGAGACATAGTGCCGCTGTTACTCATCTGCCAAACGGTCGTAATGCGGCTCGGATGCAGTGCCCTTGCTGACTGATGGTGAGGCTCTGTTTTTGTGGGTAGGCACTCGGCAGCACGTACGTTTTTGTTTTTTTGACAAACAAGCCACTCGTTTGAGACAATCAAGGGAGAGTGGTGTGTGAGCGGTTCGGGGATTTTCAGGCTGAACAATGTACGCTAACCGACCGTCATCCTGGGGTTACACGTGGGCATAGCTGCGCAAGGTTTCAGGACAGAACGAATGACGAAATCGAATATACGCCGCAATGATTTGCCCGACACCTGAGCGTGACGCAGCAGTCTGACGCAGCTGTGCCGCCACAATTGCCGCTCAGAGGGGCGGCATCGGTCATTTACATCTCAGCGCCGGAGCAGGTACAACGTCTAACACTTCACAGCCAGCGTGCAGCTAATGCGACTCATGAGCGCCCTTCGTGTGCCTCTTGAGTCCTATCATTTTTCTGTCTAATGAGACATTGTGGGTTGGCGCTCATAAAGACTTGGGGGTTTGCCAAATAACGTGCGTCGCCCATTAACACAGTTGATTCCTTGCATCGCTACTGTCACCCAGTGATTATTTTGGAACATTACAATGGTAACACGGTGTGATGGAATGCAATGCCAGGTTACTCTGTTACAAAACTCTGCTCTGGTAGCTGTCATCCGATCAAGTGCAATTCTCTAAAACGTCAAACACAGGTGGGTGAACAACACGAGATCCTGTTTCGGCCTGCGCTGTGTGCTCGGGCCCAGCTGTTTTAAAACGAGAGTGTAAGAACATTGCGCTGCAGTCGAGATGAGATAAAACCCAAGCGGCGGAGAGCATTTACTTTACGTTGCAATAAAAGCCAATTAAACTACTTGAACAACTCTTTTTTTATTTGAGCAGTTAAGGCTCATTGAGCCAAATTTCTTTTTTTCAGAAGCGACCTTGCCACACATGATAGCACACCAACGAAGTGGCCTATCATCGCGTGGGAATGTACAGAGCCAAATACTGTAAACGCGTGTCGCTTCTAACTGTGAAGGGAAAAACCGGAAGACCCGGAGAAAAAAATCCATGTATTAGGATCCCGATTGGGGGACCTCGAAAAAAATCCATGTATTAGGATCCCGATTGGGGGACCTGGAAAAAAATCCACGCATTCGGGTCCCGATTGGGGGTCCTGGAGAAAAATCCACACATTAGGGTGCCGATTGGGGGACCTGGAAAAAAATCCACGCATTAGGGTGCCGATTGGGGGTCCTGGAGAAAAATATACGCATTAGGGCCAGATTGGAGAACCTGCAGAAAAATCCACGCATTGGGGCCCAACGGCAAAACGACTTGACCAGGAGCTCACACGGCGCGTCCGCCGTTTAAAACGCCGCGTCGGCGCGGGGCCAACCCCGAGTTTTCCGGCACGGCGCTCTCTCACCGGTCGTCTCGACGATGCCCTCGAGGATGACGACGATCTCGAATTGCTCCGTCTGCATGGAGCGATAGGAGAGCTCGTAGAAGGGGCTGTTGGTGTCGATGATGTGGCAGATGGTGAGGGGCGACACCAGAAACAGCTGATCGGCGCCCGTGCCGAATCCCACGTCCAGCTCCAGCTGATCCAGTGGCAGGAACTCGCCCTCCGGCGTCTGCCGCGACTGCCCGCCCGCCCGCGCGCGCACACGGCAGGGATTTTGTTACGCTCGCAGGGGAGACTCCGCAGGGCTCGGCGCGTTCTCTCCGCCTCCTCGCCTTCTTGTTTCTCAGCAACAAAAAACTTTTATTTTTGTTAAGCAATTTTTTTTTTATTGTCGTCGTTTAAAGAAGCCAGAATGCAGGTGGGGAATTTAAAAAGGAAGGGTAGAAAAACAACAACAGGTAACGTCTTCTTGGTTCTTTCGGTAAAGTCACGTAGAAGGGAAGTACGTGACTTTACCGAAAGAACCAAGAAGATGAATCCCTGCAGTCACGAAAGCTTTAAATCGAAATTTAACAGGTAACGTGTAACAAGCTAGGTGCGTCACGCACCCTCGAAATTAGGGGTCGAACGAGGGCGCCAGGGCTGGCTGGCCCACCCCGGTGGGAATGACGATTGGGAGGCAGTGAATTTAAGTTGGGGGGGGGAGAATGGGGAGGGGAGAGGTAATGTAGCCAAACAGAACACACCCCCCCCCCCAAAAGAAAAAAACACAAACGCGATGTCCAAGTTTCTCAATTTTGTGATCTCCAAGGAATAACGGTTCCAGTATCAAGAGTTGAACTGAGCAATGACGATATCATGTGACCTTGTTAGCCAGTGCAACAGCTGTGTTAAAGATGTTCGAACACCAAATAGAAACCTTTTGCAAGGAATCGAGTCTGCATTAACCACACGCAACTTGTGGCGGACATGCAAACACACATCTCTTATTATAATGTGTGCATTGTCTTTGAAACGCAATGTCTCTGGTGTCGGCCAACCAGTTTGAAAGACAATGAAAAAATCATCAGCGTGTTTGTTTTCATGTTTCCCCACAAGCACACGTGGTTCATGCAGACTTGATTGCTTGCAAAAGGTGCCTCTTTGGCGTTGGAACATCTTAACACCTCCTGTTTTACTGTCAGAAAGGGTTAAATTGATTCGTAGTTTTCACACTTCAGCAATAACTTTTAGCGGCACACATTTCGAATGCAATGAAGGTCCGTCTACTGCGCATCTTGAGTTTATTTCGCGTTCAGTGTGGCTTTGCCTCGAGCATGCATTTTTTTAATAGTTACGAAGCATATGGTGGGCTTTGCCAATTAAATTAAGTCTTCCTGGTTCTTTCGGTAAAGTCACGTGGAAGGGAAATAATAAAATAATAAAATTAAACATTATAAAATACAATTCTCACGACGTTTCGGCCACAACGCAAGCAGCCGTCCTCGAAATTTAAATCGAAATTTTAATTAAGTCTGCTGTTTTCACCTTGTGCTTATTTGTGGTACATGCTGTCAAGTGCAGAAACTGCGGCGTGTTTCACACGGGCAGTGGACTCTGCCTGGTACGATGGGGATGGCTTATTTGAATTTGTATGTGTTTGGGTGATTTGTTTATCTTTCTTGTACTCTGCACTACTATTTAGTTTAAGTAGCTGTGTGTTGTTGTAACGTTCTTACCCGGCCCCTACCGGATAAATAAATATCCTGATTTTGAAAAAAAAAAATCTGCAATCTCACTGCGCAGTTGACGTCTGCAGGCAAGTCGCACGTTCCCGTCAGAGAGTGTGTCACAGATGACGCATTCACTCTCGTTGCCTTTAAAGCGAGGAAATATAAACTCACAAATGTTAATATGATAACAGTTTTTTTTGGGTGAAATCGCGTAAATGTAATTGTGCCGTTAAACCCGCCACCACCCGACACAGCCAATTCGCAAGGTTTGCCACGTAAACAAAACGTGCCAATTCGTTACTACTTCAACAAAACGGTGTGTGTGTGTGTTGGAGAGCAAAACCCACGACCTTCACAATTTGAGTACGACTTACAAATGTTCTGCCCAGGCGTACGCCAACACTTTGAAAAATGCAACTTGACTCGATTAGACTTAGCTTGAACTATTTATTTTATTTTATACCTACGTGACTTTACCGAAAGAACCAAAGATTATGAATCCCTGCAGTCACGAAAACTTCAAATCTAGATTAGCTTGAACACGTATCTCCTGCGGCTCGAGACCACAATTGACCTATTATCATCTTCAGTAGCAGTAGACCGCATGAGGAACAAGTGACTGATGCTAATAATTAAATGCCGGGTGGCCCAATTCGGTATAGAGAAAGCCTCTGAAGGGATCCATGTGCAAGGTGATGAATGCATTGTGGACACAAAACAGCGGTGTCATTGAGTCACCCTCACGGAGACAGCCAATAATTGGGTTTGCTGGCTCCACCAGGTCCGGTCGAGTCATCAGAATTTCGTAACCCGTCCCCCCCTCCCCCCCCTCGTACGGGAGGAACATTGCAGGCGGCTACAGAGAGATAAATGAGCCACTGATGCATTCGTCCATTTCGCTAAAGACTTATGGGTCCCCCGAGCCCCGCGGCACGGCGATGTGAAGGTGCGCGGTGGGGGTGGAGAGCACTACGGTTGCAGGGGGTGGTACTGGCAGCCGTAAATCAGGGGGGCGACACGCACACACACACACGCACACACAATGTGTTTACTGCCGAATGGCTATTCCCAAGCAATATCCACGCGATGACAATTGTGTGATCACAGCGTAGTTACTTGCTCCGGTACGGCATTGGTGTAGCGTGCAGATTCATTGGTGTGGCCAGTTTGTGATCACAGCGTAGTTACTTGCTCCGGTACGGCATTGGTGTAGCGTGCAGATTCATTGGTGTGGCGTGCAGATTCATTGGTGTGGCGTGCAGATTCATTGGTGTGGCGTGCAGATTCATTGGTGTGGCGTGCAGATTCATTGGTGTGGCGTGAAGATTCATTTGCTTTGTGTTCGTTCATGGGAACGAGCTGCGTCACCTGGCCCGAACAATGTAAAACATTTTCTGAAACTGATGCAATTGAGACAACACGAGTATTAACCGACGTGTCAAATTGCAATACGTGTCCTGTTGGTTTTCGTTGCAAGATATAATATTCGAGAAGGGTTTTAGGGCCAGCCCGACTTTCTATCCCCAGGCACTGTGCGGATATATCTCTTAACATGATTGGGATGCCAATGTCACGTCAAGATAAGCCCCCCCCAAAAAATACATCCGAAGAAGACCAGGCTTCACACAAACCGTGCAATCCGCGAGATGGGTTTAATCGAAAAGAGGGCTTCGTGAGGACACAAAGTGCCGTGCCCAGTCATGGCGAGGAAAGCAGGTTGGGTAGTTTTCCAAATAGACAGCTGTTTACGTTAATTAACATTTTGTCTCTTATTAAATACGAATATATCGTTTAGAATGACGCTCTAGTTGCCATAAACTTGACAAGAACACACGAGAAGTACCCTCTCAATCACAGGTAATGTTAGTTTTTTTTTAATCTAATTATTCTATATATTGGGTGCGGGTAAATGTATTGGAAAGTAAAAAAACGTCGAGCTTCGGATGTTTGGTTCGCGCCGAGTTCCGACACGCACATTTAAAACAAAGCCTCGGGTAGGATCTCAAAAGTGACATCGCTCCGTGTGTGCCCTGCTCAAAGCACGCGTAGGATTGTTACTCAATTCCGAACGATCGCGTGTGTAATTCCCACGTTCATATGGACGGGGATAATCATATAGGGTAGAAACTAATTTCCTGCCCGCACAGCGATTCCAGTAATTCACAGGCGCATTTGGTTGATTTGGACCCCGTAATTCCATTTGCCCACCCGCTACCGCTTGCGGGTTTCGTGCTCGAAGCACAACGACCGAGAAGAGAAGCAAGAGAGACATGACCTCGACCAGCGAGAGTATCCCCCCAGCTCGCTCTAAACGAAGGCGACACGAGCTCGCTAGAGGAAGTCGCCACCGACTCAGCCCCAGCACCGCAACGTTGGGGGTGGAGAGGGGGGCGTGCGGGAGCGAGCTGAGCCCCAACCCTCCTACTGAAGGAACCAGACATCCCCTTCTATATTCGTAGTCATGTCAAGACATATTTTTGGTCCTTTCGGTAAAGTCACGTAAATAGAAAAAAAAAATAAAAGCAAAAAAAAAAACCCCACGACGTTTCGATCGCAACACAAGCGGTCTTCATCAGCTGGAGAGAACAAAGTCAAGACAAGTCGGTGCCCTGTATACATAGAGTGGGGGGAGGGGGGGAGGCTGCGGTAGAACGCAGTACAGACAAAGGCGCGTCACATCGCGACTCATTCCGTTGTGGGCCACCAACATTTGTTGAAAGTTTGTTTAGCGTCCACTGTGTCGCCCCACCTCCCCCCTCCCCTCGCCGCCACCCCCCCCCTCGACTATTCAAACAACCTTCGCGCTGCCGTGTTGACTCACCCTGAGCAGCTTGCAGCGGATCTGCGCCGACACCATGTGGCTGTTGCGCAGGTTCCCGACGCGGAACATGAGGCAGAGTCTCCCGTCGCGCATCGAGATGACCGCGCTCTCGCTGAACATGAGCGTCTCGGCGCGCTTCTTGGGCTGCGACATCTTGATGAACATGCAGCCCACGAGGAAGGCGTCCACGATGGAGCCGAGCAGCGACTGGAAGAGGAAGAGGAGGATGCCCTCGGGGCACCGCTCCGTGATGTAGCGGTGGCCGTAGCCGATGGTCGCCTCCGTCTCGATGAAGAAGAGGAACGCCGACGGGAAGTTGTAGACGTTGGCGACGCACGGCGTGTAATCCGCGTCGCGCGCGATGTCCATGTCTCCGCGTATGTAGGCGATGAGCCACCAAAATCCGGCCATCACGAGCCACGCCACGGTGTAGGTGAGGATGAAGATGAGCAGGTTCCAGCGCCACTTGAGGTCGACGAGCGTGGTGAAGATGTCGGAGATGTATCGGCCCGTCTCGCCACTCACGTTGCCGTGCTGCACGTTGCAACGGCCGTTCTTGGCGACGAATCGCTGCCGCTTTTTCTTCTTCTTGCAGTCCGTGCCGCGACCTCCTCGGCCTCCGAAGCCCCCGGGCCCGCTCACCACGCTAGACACCACCTGGTACTCCTCCACGGATCGTCGGCAGAACAGGGACATGCTTGAGGCGTCGCTGCTGGGGAGAAATGGGGGGAGGGGGCGAATGGGGGTGGGGGGACGATGTTGGAACCGTTACGGCTACAGCCGCGCGGCGTTCTGGGGGTTCTGTGCCGAGGCCGATTCGTCGCCGTTGCTGCTGATGCTGCTGCTGATGCTGCGGGCGGAGCTTGAGGTGGTGCCTCTCGTGAAGAGCCAGGTGATGCGCCTTCGAGATGACTTCCTCCGAATCCTCGATCTCACCATCTCGCACACGTGACAAGCTTGGCCCTTGTGTTGTTGTTGTTGCTGTGTGTGTGTTTTATCCAAAAGGGTCCGTGGTTCCGTTGTTTTGTTTGTTTGGTAAAAAACTAAAAGTGCGACTGCTCGCAATGGAAAGCGGGCGAAATGAGCCCGTCGTGTGAGTGGTGTGAGGGAGAGAGCAGAGGAACAGCGCTGAGTATGAGGCGTGGAGGAGGAGTGGTTCGTGCGGGTGGGGGGGCGGTGATGTGTGGGGGGGGGTGATGGTGGCTGGGGAGGAGCGCTGGGCGGGCCTTGGTGCTGAAATGGACAGCGTCTCGGCAGGGCTCAGTGCCCATTACATAACGCGCCCCGCGCTGATCCGAGACGTGGCCGCGCTGCGCCTTTAAGCCAACGGAGCAATGCAATCGGAACGAGGGTTTCTGGAGCGGTGCTATTTTACGATAGCGGGGGATCGCGTCCTCTCCCTGTGTGTGTGCGCGCGCTTTAAGGCTTCTCGGCGCGCTATGCGGTGTTAAAAAAAGGAAAGGCGGATTAGATATTAATTCTAGATTTGAAGCTTTCGTGACTGCAAGGATTCATATTCTTAGGTTGATACAGCTGTCGGGCTGTGACGGTTCCACCTGAAGACAGAAGCTTGTGTTGCTTCCGAAACGTCGTGATTTTTATTTTATTTTACTTTTATTAATTTTAATGTTTTACCTACGTGACTTTACCGAAAAAAAAACCTAAGAATATGGATTAGATATTAATTCAGGCACTGGAAATTATGTAGATGGGGCATGTTTGCCCGGATAATACAAGAGGAACGATGTCGGTGTTTGTCCGTGCCGATATCTTTGCAGCAGATTTGGTTCGGCTCGTGGTGTCAGTGTGTTTTTGATGTAGATTATTCCAGAAGGAACGCATTAGTCTCGTCATCAGGAAGTACAATTAACAAAACGAGATCGCTTGATCTTCCTTCCCATTTTTAATGAGAGATTATAAATAATTGAAACTACAATAGAGTAGATGCTTGTAATTACAGAGCACCACGTTGCTTAAAGTTAGTATTTTATGCCTGCTCTTTAACTTCTGAAGGTGCATTGCACACATTTCTGTCTCGTACGGTATATTTTGGTTACAAGTGAGTGTCAATCGTGGTGTATTATCAGTTTGGAGGATTATCGGATAATTTCCAAAACAAAACAACCACAAAAGTAGAATGAAGTAAGAACATACGACATACTCAATAAGTCGGGAAAAGGAGGTTCACCGATTACACAAGATATTGTTACAAAGAATGGAAGTGAACAATAGGAAGGCTGAACGTGTTGTGATCAAGATAAATACATGTGATCAAAGCAAATTCTGTATACAACAAGTTCACTCAACATGAAGACATCAACAAGTTCAAACAACATGAAGACGTCAAAAAGTTCGAACAACATGAACACGTCATTATTCAATACACCCCTGGCAAAACGCATCAGACTGTCTGAACCTAACCGAGACCAATTCCTGTAGCTGCATGAAGATACAAATTATTAAATAAAAAAATTACGAGAGCAGGTCGGAAGGGTTGGAAGAGTGATTCTGCAATAAATCTGAAACATATTCCCCACGCTTGCGTCTTAGATATATCTTGCTGGTAACTGTCTGATGATGTTGGCTGTAACCATCAACAAAACATCTTGCCAACCCATGAAATGTTGTGAATTGCTCTCCAGCACACCGGTGTGCAGCAATTCATGGGCACGTTTGTTCATCACGTGGCAACCTTCTTGATCGGCCGCGTCGGGTGGAGGAGGGTGTACGACACACATTTTACCTATACGTGATCTGATCCAAACATATATTATTAAATCGTAATATTCGTCGCGAAAGCCGACTGCATGTTCAATTTGATTGTGACTAGATCTGGGATATTGAAGATTTATTCTTCATTGACAGGTCAGATGTAATATTATTTACTACGATAATAAGCCAATAATGTCTGTGTGTCCCGCGCGTGATGTCACTCCACGTCGACCAGCCCCCCTAATTAATAATCATGAACAGGTGACGTCCTCCACATGGACCCCCCTCTCATTAATAATAATTACCGGCTGACGTCACTCCACATGGGGGGGGGGCGAGGCGCTTCCTCCCCCCTCCTCAGCGTCAACTTACAACCCTCACTACAAAGGCAGAACCCTCACGTCACGTGATCTCCGTAACGCTGTCGAGACATCGAAGTAAAAAGGACGTCGTGATGAACACGGGGTTATAACCTTTAAATGAAATAAGTCTGTGTCACCGCGGCCTTACAAATTGCACACGCACTGATGCAATGAATATCACGTCGCGGTCTGCTTTTCGCTTGCAAGTTTCAGATTTACTGCAATACACCCGTCCTTGGACGGGCAAAAGGCTAGTTTACTTTAATCATGGAAAACCAGCCTTTGCAAATTGTCCAAAGTACTTGTGAGAGAGATTAATTGTGGAATGTTGGGATCACATGTGGGATGGCAACAGTTTGGGAGGAACCTTTTTAAACAGTGGATAAAACATCACTGATAATTACGAGAAAGTTCTAACTTATAACACATATCTGCAGCGGATGACATATGGTGTTTTAACTTCCTGTATTATAATTGTGCATCCACACACAACCACATCTATTTAATAATTCAGCACTTTACTTTGTGACATTACAAAAGTCGACTGCATACACAGCCGACTTTTAGGCACTCATCCCATGGGTAATATTCTAATGCAATGCCCTCATTCACACATCTCTAAAGGCACACACACATTACGATTTATAAGTATCACTGACGTCATCTAACGTCACACATACGACATGTGCTTGTTTGGGAATACGGTATTATTTAGATGCCAAATATAGTTAAAACACTCCTTAGAGGTGACCCATTTTTAAACAAACTTTCAGAAATTTGAGTACACTGATTATATTCCACTGATGTACATTTTCTATAAATGTTCTGTGTGTACATTTGTAACAACGTGGACATATCCCAATGGACACGAATATTCCTCTAAAGTGCACTTTGTGGTGATAATTCAACATCTCTACTTGCAACAATTCCAGACATATACTTTTTTTAGACTGCATGCATATATTCAGTCGAGCCAATGTCAATGATGCACAGAATTGGGGTGACATTCTTACTTAATGATTCATTAATATGCCCCATCTAGCTGTATAGTGAAACCAGTTTAGATAAAGGCCAGGCATAGCATTCTCCAGCATGTATTCAACGTACACGATGTGGTGCCGGATGAGTGACATGGCATGGTGAAGAGAAAGCGTGGTGCATTTGCACAGAAATCCCAAAAATGTTAATGCAATGAGCAAAAGGAAAGAAACCCAATCAACAATGCATGCTTTTAAAATACAGTAATTTCAAGCAATACCTTCGATAACGAGAGTCTTGAGACCCAGTAGCATTCATGGGCGTTTCGTGATTACTGTAAATCGTAATTTTCTGCGACATTCAAATTCCAATTGATTATTTCCTGATCTTCTTGGTTCTTTCGGTAAAGTCACGTAGAAGGAAAATAATAAAATAATACAAATTAAACATAATAAAATAATTCTCACGACGTTTCGGCCACAACGCAAGCAGCCATCCTCAGGTGAAAACCAGGTCTGTCGGGGAGACAGCGTTTGATTCAGACGCTGTCTCCCCGACAGACATGGTGAGGACGGCTGCTTGCGTTGTGGCTGAAACGTCGTGAGAATTATTTTATTTTATTGTGTTTTATTTTTATTATTTTATTATTTCCCTTCTACGTGACTTTACCGAAAGAACCAAGAAGATGAATCCCTGCAGTCACGAAAGCTTTAAATCGAAATTTATTTCCTGATCATTTCACAATGTCAATATTTTCCAAATTCCACCCCATTGCAGTTTCTGCATGTTCATTTGTCAATCACACTTCAGTGTCGCTCACAGTCTGTGGCACGACACGTTTCATTTTCAGTCCCATCACTCGTGTCTGCAGCAGGCGTCACGCACATCTGGCGTAACTTTTCAGGTCGCCTCTGCCATTTCAAGAGTCCTCAGCAACGATCCGTTCCAGCTCCGATAGACTGGCACCTCATTTGGCCGGCCTCCGTCTCCCCAGGTTGATGGAGTCAGTGCTGGTCACCGGTTAATTGGCGATTTGTTCAAAAATAGAAGCCTATCCCAGCTGAGGGTGATAGGGTCTGCGAGTGAAAAGTGTTGTTCGGGTGCATTTATTTGGGCTATCTATGCAGAATGAATGTTGTCAAAGCAGACATTTATTCACGGGGGAAATAATAATGTTATATTCTTTGGGTCTTTCCGTAAAGTCACGTAGATCGGTTCAAATAAAATAACCAAAAACTACGACGTTTCGATCGCAACACAAGCAGTCCTTACTCATATATAACCTTGTTGTAACTGTTCTCTCGCTGGTTCAGCAGTTCCACTGCTGGATGACATTTTTTTCTGCCTGAGCACGACCGCCTGTGTTGCGATCGAAACGTCGTCATTTATTTTATTTCATTTCATGCCTAAGTGACTTTACCGAAAAAAACCAAAGAGTATGAATTCCTGCCGTCACGAAAGCCTTAAGTCAAGATTTATTAATGTTATACTTATCTAACTGAACCTAACATTGGGATGGATCAATGTCACGGTGATTCGCGCACTGCACGATTTACTCGGGAAACCTGAGTTTGATTCCTGACCACTTCTCGCCAGTGATGAATGACTCAGTCCTGAGCACCCCCCCCCCCTTCACCAACACCCACTCACCAGTGTGGTGAAGTATGGTCAAACAACCTCAATGACCGAAAGACACGGAGCGGCCTTCACACACTGCACCGGATTGACAAAGGGCCCTACATTTCACTGCAATGTTACATTGAAATTATTTCTATTATTTCGCCACACAAGGCAATCGTGTTATTTTTACAAACACGGGTAGGTAATCTTTCTGCTGTCCTGATTAGCATTGCCTTGTAATAAAAAAACACATGTCAGGCTAACATTTTAGACATATGCTATTTGCTTTTTTCCTATAAATAGGGATCGCTGTTAAAAATGCTAGTCTACTGTTTTTTGTGCACGTTTTTTTTATGTATGGCAGTGCTAATGAGACCGGTACATTGTTCTTGATACGATATGACAAAACATCCTTTTCAATTTAATTCAGCTGCTTGGTT